AGAATGCAAGGGCAAAACAAACAATGGTTTTCTATTAGTTTCTTTTACGTTGTGCCTGGTGCCAGGAAATCCTCACACTGGCACTGCCACCGTGCATTCAATCTTGCTAGCCTATCAATGATAACCTAGACTGTACCGGTATTACGAAAAAAGTGTTCTTTTCTGGCGTCCTAAAACAAGGAGCTTGCATCACACGACTACAACACAGCGACGATTTGTAGGTAAGCCATAGTTGTATCTCATGGACTGGGCCGAGAGGCAACGGAGGAAGAAGGCTTGGAGTTTGTGATGCTAGTAAAGGCTGTGCTGTTGCGGAGAGAGAGGCTATTAAATGTGTTTTGTAGATGTTTGATTGATTATATTATGGGTTTGTTATCAAACAGAAACAGCAGCCGCAGTAGCGGGGAGTAGGGAATGCAGGAGAAATAGAGGCGACGATCGAGGGTACGTGACCAATAACAACAAATATACAGTACAGCAATTATAACACTTAACGGTTATAACGTTTATAACGTCGTATTACCAACATCATTGACAATCAACACAGGTGGTTTAAAAAGGGATAAGAGGAAAGGTTCACCGACAGCAAAGGAACACGAGAAAACGAAAGAAAAACAAAACAAAAGAAAAAGGTACGAGTGCTAACAAATAGAGAGAGCCACAGACAAAGGTGGGAAATGGCAAGATCTTGAATTGAAGAGATAGGAGGTCTAGGGGAAGAAGAAAAGGAAAAGAAGAGTAAGCGCAGAAAGAGAGAAGGTGATGATGGATAAAGAGGGAAGGAGAGAAGGAGGAGGAGGAGGGGAGAAGGTGAAATTGGAGGGAAGGGAGGAGGGAAAAAAGGAGAAGGAGGAAGGGGAAGGAAAAGGAGGGCTACTCCAATGCACCCTCACCTTCTCCCCTCCTTCTCCTTCTCCTCCTCCATCATCTTCTCCCCTCCTCCTCCACCTACTCCAACACCTTCTCCCCTCCTCCTCCTGCTCCCCCTCCTCCTCCTCCCCCTACTCCAACACTGTCTCCCCTCCTCCTCCCCCTACTCCATCACCTTCTCCCCTCCTCCTCCTCCTGCCCCTACTCCTCCTCTATGACCTTCATTCAATCTCTATCACCTTCTCCGCTCCTCCTCCTCCTCCTCCTCCTCCTGTCCCTACTCCTCCTCCATGACCTTCTTCATTCGATCTCCATCACCTTCTCCGCTCCTCCTCCCCCTCCTCCTCCCCCTACTGCATCACCTTCTCCCCTCCTCCTCCTCCTCCTCCTCCTCCTCCAGCCCCCTACTCCTCCTCCATGACGGTCTTCATTCGATCTCCATCTCAGGGGCAGGTACGTTTATGTGAACACAGGGTACATATATATGCTGAGAAGATACAGGTCTGGTACACTTGTGTATACATATACGTACCTCGGGTACATATCTGTAGTACCTGATACGACAACGACCCCTTCAGCGTCACTTACAGCTCCTTTTCCTTTGCAAACAGTTTTTATTGACATTTTATGCCATTGTGTTGGTATTGTTGCACCTTGAAGTAGTGAGTTTACTATTATTTTTAACGATGTAATCATATCTCTTCCTCCATGGATCATTAATTCATAGGCCATCCCTTGGTTATCTCTGGCTTTATTGCCCTTTAGATCATGGATTACTAGTTTTATTTCGTTGTCGTTTGTTTTCTCTTTGTTGATTCTATTGTTTATGATTCTTATTCTTTGAAATGTTTTGTCAACTGATTCATGAATTCTGCGATCTTCCTCATTCTTTATGGGTTTTTCCCTTAGTAGCTCTTCAAAATATTCAACGTATGCTTGTTTGATTTGATCTGCATTCTCTAACTTTACGTTTGGTAAATTCCTCTTTATGATGCTAGATGCCTTACTTTCTTTACTAGGTAATAGCCTTTTTCTTATTTTCCAGAATCCACTCGAGTTTATGCCCCTTGTTTCTTTAGGTCATCTAGTTGTTTATAGAGCTTAGTTTTTCATTCCTTTTGTTGCTGTATTCCTATTCGATTATTTATCAGTCTTATTCGTTCACTTGTGATATTGCTCTGTTGGTTGTTATTGCCAACAGAGTTATACGCACGTAATGCGTAGCGGCAGGCAAGTTTTTAAACCGTAGGATGGCGACTGAAGATTGATAAATTATTCATGACATCACACATGGTTCGCGTTTCTGATTCGTTCCCGGTCGCTTCTTTGATTACATTTCACTATATTTTATGTAAGACCAACATAACGCAACATTCTCATGCTGAATTGAGTTGAATGTCGTGGATATTCGTCCGAGCATCGGACACCTGTTTGTATGCGCTATTCGTCCGAGCAGTCGCGCAGCGTGGTATGTGTCGCTTTCCCACACCATGGATTAATTTGGTACTATGACACGCGTATATAAGATAGCCGAGTCGGTTTAGATCGTGTTAGGGTTAGGTTTGGGTTATGTTTAGGGTTAGGGTTAGGGATATGGTTTTGGGCTCGTGAAGTGGTCTTGAGTGAAGTGAATTATTACTTCGCACAAATCAGAAACGCGAACCATGTGTGATGTCATGAATAATTTATCAATCTTCAGTCGCCATCCTACGGTTTAAAAACTCGATAGCGGCCGCCCTTCAGCTTCGCTCCCAATGGCGGTCTGATTGGCTACACGCGTAGAACTACAGTGCTACATTTTTCAATTGCATGCTGTGTAGTACCAGTGAGTAGTGACTCATTAGTAATACTAGTACATCTACTAGTAGTGTGTATAATACAATGTGAATGTGAGTAGCCACAGTTATCATTTGCATTTCACTGCCCAGTATTTACTGACACTGTTGTCAGTGTGAGTGTTGACTGGTAGTGCCACTACTACTACTAGCTAGTACTAGTACTAGTGCTGTAGTGCTAGTGCCGTAGTGGTACTGACTTAGTGATCTACCGAGTCTACGTTACCTCGCTCCTCCTTCTCATCTTCTACAACAGTCTGATAGCCAAAATGCGTCTCGGTCTTAGATTGATTAAATCTTTGGCTGTCATGGCTAGAAACGTATCTGCACGTTACAAACAAACTTTTAAAACAATTTAACTGTTTGTGTACTGTACGCATCCGATTAGCCATATCTTCGGGTAGTGTGTAGTAGCGCCATCTGGCGAGCAATTTAATAACTTTATACAGTCAAGTATGGATGCCCCCATGAACCATATTTTGACTGAGTCTCAAAAGTTTCGCAAGCTATGCCAAAAGGCATATTGCTTTCCACCGAGAAGCGATTCACGGCACGAGATAGAACTTAGCAATATCTTAGACGAGTTCAATTCGTTTGATTATGGTGCTAAATTTGTAAACGATGAGGTAATATGCATCGTTTTACTGACAGTGCAGCGGCAACTGTACGTGGGCTATAGTTACAGTACTACTAGTACTACTAGTACTAGAGCTAACAGTGTCAGTGTCAGTGGACAATGATTACACTACTCACTAGCTGTGTCTTTTACACATGAATTTAATTAATTTCCTTATGTTTCAAGCTAATAATAATATTAATATAAGAATTATATGAGTGTATTGGAAAGCCAGTAATTTTTAATTTTTGTCATCTTGATTGGTTTACTGTGAATATAGTACTATAGTACTAATAATCTACTATTACTAGTGACAATTACTGAATTAGTAATTAATTTAGTAATGTCGACATCAGGTAAATTGCGCTCAGTCTCAGCGTGTATATTTTAGCGCTAATCCTAATCTATAACTATATAAAGATCGAGTAAACGACAATTGAGCATGACAACGTCAAAAGAACAGTACTGGTACACTACGGTACCGGTAGCGATTGTCACTGAATGTGTTGTGTACAATACGTACGTTATCAATGTTATATATACAATATCAAGCTAGTTTATGTTCTAGCACCTACTCGGACTCTACCAAGCAGAAACTGAAGACACTGGCTAACCCATGATTTCATTTAATTGTGTTGTAGGACGCAGTCTCACTTCTCTGCCGACTGAGTGAAAGCATTAGTTCAACAAGCGACCATTTGGTTTCAAAATACAGCCAACTGTTATCACATATAGTTGCAAATCAAAAGGTATCATCAATTATATACTAGATGGCACTGATAAATGGTTTAGGTGGCCAAGCCAGTCATATCTTAAGTCAACGAAGCAGCCTTCTTGTCGACAATTTATGTGCAATCCTGTATCATCTTTAGAGCAATTATTAGATATTATATGACTTCTCTTAAAATTCCTAAATGTATATTCCTTACAAATACCTAAGGTGTATAAGGTAAAAAACTGTTAAGATCGATATTATTAATATTATTTGATTTAAATATGCTTAGGTGATGTCAATTATGTACATAACCAACTATAAAATATCCAGTACTGGTAGTTATAGTTATAGTAAACCATATAGTTTAAAGATAAATGTATGTATTTCTTTGCAATTTTATATTTTGGTTTTGCCACAAGGAGAATATATTGCTGTTTGTAGTTTCTTTTTATTTGAAATTCAATATGCCAATGGAATTTTCTTACAAACAGGTTCATGTGGATTTGCAGTCTTTACACACCCTCGTCCAATATATGATTAGTGCCATCCAGGCATGCCAGCAGTGGACACTTGCAGACACACTGCGTGCCCTCGGAGCTCTGCTCTATGAAAACACAGGCAGACTTGACAAGGTACACGCACGTGGTAGTCTAGTAACAACAAAAATATAACTTATTTGCTACATGGTATAATGAATTTAGATAGATAATGCATACATAATGTTGTGCTTGTTAAGAGTATGTGTGTGCACACGTTAACAGTTACTTTAACGCTATAGTATAAATATTTTGACTTCAATGTTGAAGTCCTTTGCATCATGCTTTGGTAGCATGAGGGTTTTCTTGTGTCAGTTGAGCATAAGGACGATCGATGTTGTGTATGACATACCATTGTTACGAATAAATACTTGCACATCACTTCCCTCTATTGCTAATCGATGTATATTACAGTTTCATGATGTGCTGTTGAGCCATGAGCATGGAATACTGATTGACATAACAAGCAATCAGAGCTTCAGCCTTGATGTCCGAAGAGCAGCCTTGCAATGCGTCGAGAATATGTGCATGAAGTAAGCATATCCCTCTATCATAGAAAGAACAGCTAGGTAGCCATGCCATTTTTCCGTTCACTCAGTCATTAGGTTGGTCATTTTTGCAATATCATTCTGCTGCACCCATAAAGATCAGACAGACTTGAAAATTTACAAGGCTGTTAGAATAACTATATATTTTGATGACACGTTCCCTTTTTATGAGTTCTCAGAGGGAGTTACGTATGTATGATGTTATTGGTGTGCATTTTCAGGACACAGAGTCTACCCTATCTACAGGAAGTGTACGTCAGCTGCTGCCTGCAGCTGTTTCTCACAGCACTGCAGATGCCACGAGACTCGAGAGAAAATGACGTCAGCCACTGCCGGGTGTGTATTCATCGTTTTTGCTTCTTGCCATTAGGCAAATGCTGGAGAGTTAATGTTATTTGTGTTACGCCTAATCGTGTGGTGATCTGGTACCATGATCGACCACAGTCGTTTCATTTGTGAGATATTCACTGTTTGCAGATTCTGGTCAGTGCACTTAGGGGCATCCAAAACATAGCAACCTTCACGAAGAACTCACACATGCAGCAACTTGGCCGCCTACTAGCCGCATTAAAGGTCAGCGTAACATGAGAGGTCATGTAATAGGTATTCGTGTGGGGTAGTTAACTGTGATTACCGCTTATCCGCCAGTTGCTATACTAGCAAAGGAGACAGCCAGATTAAAAAATTGGGGATTTAGAAAGGTGTTCGAATGTAATCGCCACCAGCAACAGTAGTTAAGGACACACGTATGTATTTAATTGCACTGGAAGCCGAGTAGAGAGTGCATAGACACCATGCGTGCTCACAAACACTCGTTTATTCACAGGTGTACATGATGTACGGCTTGCCCGGGCAGAGCCCACACGTGCCCGACTCGCTCTTTCCCACTCCGCTCAGTCGGTACGACCCATCTCCCAACCCTTCCTCCTCTTCCTCCCAATCCAATCTGCTCACTGCCACCCCTGCTCAGGAAGCACGTGTGCAAAGCGGACGGAAAAAGAAAACCGACGCGCGAAAGAAGCGGAAAGGCAACCAGAGGAAGACGCCGCGTAAAGGTGACAGTGCAGCAGACGAACGGGAACAGGGGTCAAGCTCAGGTCAAGAGGCGGATGAAAGCAACCCATCTCTGGCTGAGGGGTCAGCCTATGACCGATATGGACTCACCAGGGGTCTCTGTCTGCAGCCAACATGGAGGGTACGAATGAGTGCTGCCATACGGCCTCACCAGGTGTCTCTGTCTGTAGCCAACATGGAATATTTGTATGACCATTTATTATTGATATTAATAATAATATTAATAATAATATTATTATTATTACTATTATTATTATTATTATTATTAAAGGAATACTTTACTCTAGAATTTGAGAGTATATTATGATAGTATAATAGCACATACCTATAAATATCTATAATTACGTAATCACGTTTGTCATAAAACAACATTGAATTTCGAAATCTTCATTTTTGGGCGCTGACATGACACCCGCAACCGTGCTGCCACCCTAAAAAAGTTGCGCATTTGACAATTTATTTTGCACGTTACAGACCGAGGGCTAATCACAAAAGTGCAATTATATTTATACCTAAATGCTATTTACCCGAACAATATTCATTTTAGGACAAATTTATCCATATTATAACTAAAACTATATGTCATTTATTAGATATTGCAATCTTTCTGCTTTTAAATTAATAAATAAGAAACACCCTCGGTCTGTAACCCTTGGCTGAAAAGTCCGTTTGCGCAACTTTTCAGATAGTGCGCTTTGAGTGGCGCCACCGTCGTTGTAATGAAACTGTAGTCGTTAGTTTTAAAACATTAAAAAAAATTTTTTTTTATGTAACGTAATTTTAACCTAAATCAACTGAAAATAACCCTAGAACCTATTCCTTTAAATCTTGATTGTGTATGATTTAAATATAATTACATGTGCTGTGTTATAAACACTAACAATAATGGCCACTAATGGACATGTTGGCTAATTGCAGGTGAGCAGTTCAGAGAGTGAATACTCAGATACAGAAGGTGGTCAGACAGCCAAGCTTCGGTCGATGCAGGGAAAAGTGAGGCAGTGTGCCTTCTCAACCCTGCTGCAGATCGTTAAGGTAATCAAAGACAAGAAACAAGAATAAACAAAGAACAAACAACTACTATTTCCATCTAAAGTGCAGCTATTTCAAATCGATTATGATAACAGCGTCAGCCTCAGCTATTGCTGTCTCGATCCATCTACATTTGAAATCGCACGAAGTTATGCAAATTGCGAGTTCGTATGTAGGGTTGTGGTTCTCAGAGCATTGACATTGACGCTGTATCCACTAGGCGACGGAAAAGAAGGTGATATTCGGCTACTGGTCGTCGTTCCTACCGGACAGCCCTGTGGCTGGTAGCGGCAGTGGCCTACACACCCAGACTCTGATCACGAGTGTCATGAAGGATCCGTCTCCGAAGGTGAGACAAGCGGCGCTCGGCGCTCTCACCGCCATGTTGGATAACTCTAAGCAGTACCTGGCAGCTGCTGAAGACAGGTAGGTGCATAGGCTAACTTTTTGTTGGCTGACGTGAAGGGGAAAATCCTTTGCGTTTGTATCCTATCGTATTGTATGTGAGGTGTGCCATGCTTGACATGTAATGTTGTATGTGACACGCAGTGCGTACCGTGTTTGACACATCGTGTCATATGTGATGTGCGGTGTGTTCGACACGTCGTTCGTATGTGATGTGCGGCGCGTGGCATGTTTGACACATCGTGTCGCATGTTTGACACATCGTGTCGTATGTGATGTGGCAGGTGTGTTCGAGCACGTGTCATCGTGGTTCGATGTGATTGTGGCGGCGCGTGGCATGTTTGACAACATCGTGTCGCATGTTTGACACATCGTGTCGCATGTGATGTGCGGCGCATGGCATGTTGACACATCGTGTCACATGTAATGTGCAGCGTGTGCATGTTTGACACATTGTGTCGCATGTAATGTGCGGTGTGTTGATACATCATGTCGTACATTACTCGCGGCGCGTGACATGTTTGACACATTGTGTTGCGTGTAACGCATGGCATGTCGACAAATTGTGTTGCGTGTAACGCATGGCATGTTTGACAAATTGCGTTGCATGTACACATGGCGTGTTTCGACACATCGTGTCGTATGTGACGCGCGGCGCGTGGCATGTTTGACACATCGTGTTGAACGTGGCTTGCGACGTGCGGGGTGTGACAGCTGACGGTGATGGTTGTGTGTTGCAGTGAGTCGTGCCGCAGCGCTGCCTTCACAGCCTTCTCCGTTTCGCTCGGATCCATGATCAAGGAGCTGCATCGCAGCCTGCTTCTCGCGATGTCGGCCGAGAACTCCTTCCTGGCTCTCACGCAGAGCATCAAGGTGAGCCAGATCCATCCCGGAATGCCAAGCAGGATCGTCCGGGATTACTGCCCGGGATCGATCCGGAATTGCGATTAGGATTTTATCCAGGATTGTGTGTCAGGGTCCACCAGGATTACTGTCAGGTCCGTGCGGGATTACTGATCAGGATGCGATGCAGGATTACTGATCAGGATTCATGCAGGATTACTAATCAGGATCCATGCAGGATTACTGATCAGGATCCATGCAGGATTACTGATCAGGATCCATGCAGGATTACTAATCAGGATCCATGCAGGATTACTGATCAGGATCCATGCAGGATTACTGGTCAGGATCTGTCTGGAATTTACTGATCACGATCCATGCGGGATTACTGATCAGGATCCATGCAGGATTACTGGTCAGGATCTGTCCGGAATTTACTGATCACGATCCATGCGGGATTACTGATCAGGATCCATGCAGGATTACTGGTCAGGATCCGTGCCGGTTTTCCTGATCAGAATTGATTCGGGATTATTAATCGCGATCCATCCAAGATTGCTGATATGCATCAATCTGGGATTGCAGAATGGGATACATCCAGGGTTACTGATGCACCATGTTTGCATGCAATGCTATATCAGCAGTTATTACATGCTGTACAATCAGTTAAAACACTAGGGGGGGGCATTCGGATTGGTTGCATGGTGGTAGTGGCAGTGGTATCTGGTATGATTAAAAAGAAGTCGAGTGGGTATGGGGTGGGTTGTTTGAAATGCAATGTTTAAATTTATCAGGGAACGTTTGGGGAACACTGAGGACTCTGTCTCTCTGATCACTTTGCAAAGTAGGGTAACGCTTTCATCTGATTTGACTGTAATTACGCTAGTGATTCACTGTTGTTGTGTTCTGCAGTGTCTGGCGGTGCTGGTGTTGAATGTGCCCTATCATAGACTTCACCCGGGCCTGCTCACGAAACTGGTGAAGCAACTCAGAAACTTCATGAACCACCGAGGTATTTGCTAATGCTGTTCTCTGCTGTCTCTCAGTGGCTTTGGCTGTATAAGCTCTCATAAGCCTCACTGATATATAAAAGAGTTCAGGTGAAAGTGAAAACATACTCGTAACCCACACGTGCCGTGTGTGTCAGTGCTCTTATTAAGTTAGTCACTAAGTGATACCGTGAACATATCTAAAGAATGTTGTACATGTCATCATGTCGCATGTCCCATTGTCAGTGTTCGAAATTCACGTCGACCCGTCCGCCCGCCGCCGACAGTTTTGATGCCGGGCCTACAGCTTCTTGATAAAACAGGCCCACTGATCCTACAGCTATTTGATCACCGAAAATTCGAAACACTGAGAAACTGTTACCTGTAGAAATCCTTGCTTGCATATTAACTTCTAGGGGTATTTATTAGCTCATCTGACATAGTCAGATGCAGCTTGTAGAATCGCATGATCGTGCGTGCGTCGTTACCGTCGTCCCGGGGCCGTCACAGTTGGGCAGCAAATCTTACCACCGCTCGACGTAGCGTCACGATATTCGGGACGTGGGGGGGTAATTCCCGAAAAACGAGTTGGGATGTCGAAGCTGGGGTCAAGGTCAAAGGTCAAGAGGTGGTAAAGATAAGGGGAACATTCACTCTTAACTTTAAGGTATTAGGGAGGAAATGGCCAGATTGCGGGCACAAAGTCTAAAGCGGCTGCGACCTAGGCTCGTTGATAGTCGGTGTATAGATCATGGTTAATTAAAAGCGCTTGCACTGTGCCGAAAAATTGAGGTCTACAGAGTCAAAAGGTCAATTGGGCACAGGGCATATTTTAACATTTTCTGAGGACATGTGGTCTGACGCGAGCGACGATTGAAAAACTTTTTTGTTGCAGGCCGGTGAACCTAGCATTTTTATGGGCTTTATTGAAAGGACCATTGAAAGTGTCGCCTTCTGCTGACATTGCGAAGAGTAAGTGTCGCGATAACTTTTGACCCTCAATAGGAGGGTTAAACTGGATTTGTTGCTATTAACAAGGCAAAGAGTATGAACTGCTTTTAGCTATCTAGAAGCCCCCGTCCCCCCACCCTCCCCGCTTAGCCCCGCTCCCCTACCGCGCCCGTCCCGCCCGGCGCCCTTCGCCGCAGCCGCTCCCCCCACCCTCCCCCTACCCTCCATCTGCGGTAGGGGGCGGGTCCTAACAATGATGTGTACGCAACTGCGTGTCTGCATATCTGCGCCTAACAAATGTGGTACTACGCACGACTGAAATTTTACGTTTATAATCGTAGCAACAGACCTCAGATGAGCCCAGACGCTCTGCGGCTCTTGTTTGAAAACTAATCCGTGACAAACCGTGACATACATGTAAACAATGCGTTCTTCCACTGCATATTTGCGCAGCCTGATTGTAAATGAAAGAGCAATAGCCTGGAACCCTGTTCCAAGCTGCGCACCACAGTGTAGTAAACTAAAGGGCAAGTTGCCAGTCGAGTGCGGAATTAGCTGCGACTCGGACCAGCGTTCGAAATTAGTGCCGACCCGGAGGCCCGAGGCCACCAAGTTTTTGCTTCGGCCACCACCTCTACGAAACTGACGGTCCTCTTGACCCGCACTTTTCCCCCTCATATTACGCTGAAATACTACGGTTATCGCAACGGCAGTTTAGACAGACTTGTAAATGGGAGAGCATTCTAATACGCTCTGTTCCTGAACGTAGACGGGGTATCCAAAACATCCTCCAATCATGATTCGCCACACGTACAAAACCTTGTGACAGTCTAAGAAATCGATTGCAACATGTAGCGTAGCCCAGTGTTTTTATGACCGCATAACAATAAGTTCATATGTCGCAGGGGTTATCGTGGGGAATAAGGGCACGACCAGTGACATCTGACACGCACGTAATCAAAGCTGTTAATTGAATTCGTCACTTTTCTTTACGTAGAAAGTGGACTATTTTAATTCAGTTAGCTATCTAGAAGCAATGTAAACAGTATATACTTCAAGATTCTAGGCACTTGTAACTTTGAGGATGTGTGGCAGCATTGATCTATGCATGGGGGTACCCTGGACTGGGGAGGAGAAAAACGAAAGTAAAACCTTTCCCAGAAGCTCCCCACGACATTCCTAGAGCTTGAAATGTATTATTTTACCAACTCTATGTTACATGTATGCTGTTAATGCCAATGGTTCTTTTTATATACTATTTTGTTACCCACTGCTAGTAAATAAGCGGACCACCAACTTTTGTGCAGGACCACCGACTTTCTGAAGTTGGTGGTCCTGCTGTCCACTAGATTTTCAGCCAAAATTCGAACCCTGGCTGCGAGTAACATGAAATCGTTTCTCATTGGTGGGTGATCGTTGGTCTGGCCTGAGCAAGTGTCTCAGATTTCGACCAATCGACATGACTGTATAATCGACACATGGTTAGACTGGTGTACGTATGACGGCTCCACTTGCAATGTTATGAGACGCTACTACGTTGCTACCGATGTGTACCAGACTACCAGTCTGTCTCTCTGCTGTCAAGGTGGAGGGTCGTAGTTACCAAGGAGCTACATATAACAACGATGTGGCGTTTCCTTAATTGTGAGCCCCCGGCAAAGAAGCATAAACTGTCATCCGACGAGAGGAAGGAAAAACAGAGAAATTATGATTATGGACATTGATAATGACTATTAAACACAAGGAAGAACATGATATGCTGTTTTATTACTGTAATTTGCTCCAAAATTGGCGGGCCTACAGCTTTTAGGAGCTATAGGCCCTGCAGGCCTGTAGCTTTTTTTGCTCAGTGGCAAACACTGCTCGTTGTAGATCCCAACGTGAGAGTCGCCTGTCTCACATGTCTCGTTGTAGATCCCAACGTGAGACATACCTGTCTCACATGTCTCGTTGTAGATCCCAACGTGAGAGTCGCCTGCCTCACGTGTCTCGGCTCCGTGCTGCAAGCTCCCGTCACGGAGGTCCTCGACATCTTCCAGGGAGCGGGGCCGGAGAGCAAGCACCATCGCCGTGACGACGACGACGACGACAGCGGCGACGCGGCGCCGAGGATGAGCTGGCTAATCGAAGCCTGCATCGCGAACATTCTCACCGAGCAGGATGCGTCAACGTCGTCGGACCGGCCACCAGGAGGCGCCGCCGTGCGGGCCGTGCCGCCGCTGCCTGTGCGTCTGGAGTCGCTGCAGGTGCTGGCGATCATGGCCAAGCACCACTTCCCTGTCATAAGGTACAGTGGAACCCCGATTTACGCGCCCCCGATTTAACGCAAATTCGGATATAACGCGATGAGTTGTTGGACCACTTTTTTTTGCTCTTATATAGCCAAGTATATATAACCCCGATTTAGTGGGACCCCGCTTTTTTTGGCGGTGACATTTTATTGACCCCAACCATCGCGTTATAACGGTGCTACACTGTATCAGCTTCTTGTAACGCGTCGCGGAATCTCTTAGTGTCGGGTCGTCTCGTCTGGTTGGAAACAGAGTCGGCCGTCAGCCACACGTGTGTAGGTCTATAACTATCGGCCGAGTAAAATATCGACGGAGAATGTTGGCGCGGATAATCGTATTTCGTCTGGGTCAGTTCCCGCAAATGGAGCCTCCTCCTCTCCCTGATCGTCGATGCCGACCTTGGGTTGACCCCTGAGATCGTCGACGCTGACCTTGGGTTGACCCCTAAGATCGTCGACGCCGACCTGGGGTTGACCCCGATCGTCGACGTCGACCTTGGGTTGACTCTTCAACCTCCAACAACAATCTTGAGTTGACCCCCGAGATTGTTGACACCGATCTTGGGTTGACCCCTGCGATCGTCGATGCCGACCTTGGGTTGACCCCCGATTGTCAAAACCGACCTTGGGTTGACCCCCGAGATCGTCGACGCCGATCTTGGGTTGACCCCCGAGATCGGTAGCACCGACCTTGGGTTGACCCCCGAGGTCGTCGCGACCTTAGCGGTAATGATCGTGCGTTATCGCGTGATTTCTCGCCGTGCAGGCCTGTTGTCGGCGGCTTCTCCCGGCTGATGCTCGCCTGCCTGCAGGAGAGGGAGACCTCCGTGCGGCTGCACACGGTCAAGCTGCTCGAGGACCTTGGCTTCTCCATGCTACAGAGCCTCGCAGGCAAGCCACCCGACGCGATCACCGTCGACGAGGTGAGGGTGTGTCGCCATGGCAACGACGGCGGCCGCAGCAGTCGTCCTGGCCGTGGTTTTCCCGGACAAACTTGGACGGTGTCTGCCGCAGTGAAGCTGACTTGCCTCGGTGTCCGTGACAGGTTGTCCATGCTGCACGTGACTGAATGAGTGCATGAATCGATTAATGAATGAATGAATGAATGAATGAAGGAATGAATGAATAAATTGATGAATGTAGGGATGAATGAATGAATACTTGAATGAATGAAAGAATGAATAAATGGATTAATGAATGAATTAATGGGCGGACGGACGGACGGACGGATAGACGGATGGACGGACGATAGAAGGATGGATAAATAAACGAACGAATGAATGAATGCATGCGTGAATTAATGAATGCATCAATGAATGAATAAATGAATGAGTGAATAAATGAATGAATGAGTGAACGAACAAACGAATAAATGAATGAATTAATTAATTAATGAATGGATGAATGAATGAATGATTGATTGAACGATTGAATAATATACCAATAACTAATAAATCAATGAATAATGAATAGATAAGGAAATAAATAAATGACAGTGTGTGTCGTTTGATTTCGCAGGCCGTTGCAGTGTGGGGATCCCTTGTCGGAGGGCCACTGCTCGGACTGCTACAGACTACAGGACACACAACAATTGCACTCAGAGCTACGGTGTGTGACTGCCTATCCAACATGGGCGCCGTCGTATTCGAACTTCTGCCGGTATGTGCGCTGCCCTGCATGTCGATACGAGCGTAGTAAGTGACGGAAATCCGGCCTCTGTTGTAAGTCACGATGCAATGTGTATCACAATGAAAGTCATGCTCTTCAGTGGATGCTAATGCGAACTTTACTTTGAGAAATTTTGGGTGACTCTCCCAGTGTTTCACACAACAATTTCGCATGGACACAATCTTATAGTTGAATGATTCTATGGTCTCTTTTTTTGAGGTCACATTATTGTGAGATTTATTCCTTGCATGGCTACGTTATTGAAAGATCTCATTTTGAGGTCCCGTTCTTGTGGAAACAATTTCTTGGGAGATAACTTCATCATGAGATCTTTTCAATGAGGGATCCGATTCGTTGTGCGATGTTTTTATTGCGAGATCTGTTGCCATGGTGACAAGCTTGTCAATTGCGTGCGTAGCTCGACCGCCGGATCGCCTGCATAACTCTGCTGCTCGGACTTATTGCTGACGAAGACTACAGGGTCCGTGGCGCGGCCGTGAGGGCGCTGGGGTTCTACGTTCTCTTCCCGTCCCTTGTGCAGGTATGTTCCATTGTTCGAACGCGCGTCTAAGTCAATACATGTTTATTTTTGAGCGAGTTGCAGTTAACGCAGTCGGATTTTTGCTTTGCTGGTTTCTAAAGGCAAGGGTGCGCGAGAGTGAGCTGGTGTTAGAGATAATTTTGCACTATTCGTTTGCCGTATATCATCGGATTCGAGTTTGCAGATATGTCTGTGATTTTATTAGGATGTTGGTTTCGTAACGGACAGTGCCGCAGCGATATTGTCCTGCATGGAAGACTCGGTGTCCAACGTACGAGTTAAAGCCATGTGGTCGGCTGGAAATGTGTGCGACGCCCTCATCCTTAACAAGTGAGTCTCTCTGTGATTACTGCTGCCATCTAGTGTCAATTTAATTTACTTCGGGTGCAAACTTGCTTGAAGCTGAAACGTCGCGTTCAAGACGAGTTTGCAGTGGTTTGAGTGCAGGCACACGTCGTGTGTTTCGTAAGCCGTGAGGTGTATGGCCGTAATTTGTCATGTCATGCTTGCAGGGATAAGGAAAATGGCGACTTTTTATCAGAGTTTCCGGATGCTCTCCTGCTGCAGTTTTTCAGAGCTTGTATTGCCGCAACTCAGGATAATGACAAGGTAATTAATTGATTGGGGGGATACCACATGACAAATAGCACTTATCATGGTCTGGGAAATGGGAAGAGTCTGAGAATCATTGTGTTGCCTTTACATGGTGCACGTGATGTCTCCTAAACAGGGCATCAGGATCTGGATCCTAATATTAATCATACGTACACTCCATATCTCCATGTTGAAACAGCTCTTGATACAAGATAAAACGTAGATTTAGCGAAAAGATCGCGATTCGAAAAACCATGTCGCGACTTTTAACTGGATAGTCGTTTTTATCTGACGATTTTTTTTTTTTATATTTAATACAATGTATTAATTTACGTCTAGTTGAACTTTTATCTTATATTTGTAATGTGGTTGTTTATTTAATTTGATAATGAAAGAGATGTGCATTATTTCGATAACCGTTTGGGACTATTTCACACTGACATATGAACATGGACGTACGTGTGGTTACTATTAGTATTTACAATTCAGTGAACTTTTTTTGCTTTAAATTCCTGCCCTTTCGTGTCATTTTCTGGTTGGTATATGTATTATAACAGTCAAACAAAAATTCGTGTTCTGGACGGGATTCTTACTATCCACTTGGTCAAAATTGTCGTGACCCTGAAGGTATTCTCAGACCTATCATCTCACGATAGCAGTATCCTTCTCAGAACATGGCCGCCTTAATAATATCCATTGATCCGTAATGTTAGTTGATCTCCTTGTTTTTGCGACGCTAGGTGAAGTACAGTGCTGTGCGAGCGTTGGGTAACCTGCTGCGATACGCGCCGCATGAATCACTACGTGAGTACGACCACTCGTTACTGTCAGCACACGCATGTTGCTCTATGAAAAAGACAGCATTCAGTGGATGTACTTGGATTGAATTATATTCAATAAAGATTTAATAATAATAATAATAATATAATAATAATGTAATAATATAATAATAATATGATAATAATATAATAATAATAATAATAATAATAATAATAATATAATAATATAATAATAATGTAATAATATAATAATAATTATTATTATTATTAATTAGTGTGTATTCCCACCTGTTGTTGTTACCAGAGGACCCGATGTTTGTGGACCTGGTGGAACAGGCGGTGTCACGACTAGTAAGGAACATGTCCACAGGGGCAGTCAAGGTAAGCGCCAACAAGTGACCATTGCGAGTGACCGCAAGGGTCAGGAGTCACAGTGCGTAGCCATTAGAGGCAAGACTCTCAGTGGGTGACCACAAGGGGGAGCTGAAACTAGAATTTATCGGGAATTAATCCGTGAATTTTAACCGGAATTAAATCGGGAATTCGAGATTTAATTCGAGTCGCGGCAGGAAACACCTGCAGTCTTGGCGCATGCGCAGTCTCGCATGTAAGACACTGTGACCTTGACACACTGTTTTCAGGTGCGCTGGAACTCGTGCTACGCTCTCGGCAACATGTTCAGGAACGACTGCCTGCCTCTTGGCTCTGCAAACTGGGTGGTGAGTGTTGCCATGGGATGAGGAAAAGCGACACATCATACAGTAAAAACCCGCGTATAAGAACTTGCATTTTTCCAAGTTAGCCTAAAAAGGTTTATAATTGGTGTTTACTGGGAAATTAGGCTATTTAGGTTCTTAAATAGGTTCTTATTTTCTTAAGAAAAAAAGGTGCTTGTTGCTGGTAGAATATTGGTGCAGTCCATTGTTTATATAAAATATGCATATAATTATGAATTTTATCAAATAAGAACCTATTTTAATTTTTAGGCTAAAACAGGTCCTCAATTATGTCAAGGGGTCTAAATGGAAAATCATAGCCTAACAGGTTCTTAATCACTAGGTTCTTATACGCGGGTTTTTAGCTCACCTTGACATCGTCAAGCTGAGCTATTGGCATGGGTCGTCGTCCGTCGTACGTCTGTCCGTCCGTCTGTCCGTCAACATTTGGCTTCGGTCAACGATAACTCAGGAACCATTTGACCCACATGTTTGAAATTGGGTGTAGTTGTTACTGCTATGCTCCCATATTAAACGTCCTATTTTGGAGCACGCCAGTCGACATACTTTCGAGCCACAGCGATTTTTTGGCAAAAATGGGAATTGCCATTAGTCAGTTCAGGTTCAACGGATTTTGCTCATTTTTGGTATGTGAATGAATAAGGGCTAGGGGTTTTTATATTAAAAAAAAAAAATGCCCCATTAGGTAGGGTTTGGCAATTATATAGCATATTATATAGACACAAACAGTCTGTGGTGTCACACTCGTCTGTTCGTTTTACAAGATTTCATTGACATATCTTTAATGCAAATTGGTATTTTCTCTCCACCCTGCCGATAAAACGTCTATATTAAAGTTTTACAAAACATGTCGGAACGCAGCATAACCTATTTATTTCAAACGCCATCGCTACAAAGCGGGTATAGCCGGTCACAAATTGTGATTCATTTTGGTTTATAAATTATTATTGCGATATACAGATGGCAATCGTTTCTATAATGTACGTCGATGGTTGCTCATAAAACTGACTTCTTCTTAACTCACTCATTGTGTCCTTTTTTGTGGTGAGCTACAGTGTCATTGACACTTTCATTAATGTATCTGGTCGATTGCAGTGTCGCTGTGACGTTCGCCGTGTCACCCTGGTGGGAGAAGCGGTAGTTAGCATGTGCGGAGAGGAGGCGTGGAACGCAGTAGTTAGCATGTGTGGAGAGGAGGCGGGGAAAGCAGTAGTTAGCATGTGTAGAGAGGAGGCGGGGAAAGCAGTAGTTAGCATGTGTAGAGAGGAGGCGTGGAACGCAGTAGTTAGCATGTGTAGAGAGGAGGCGGGGAAAGCAGTAGTTAGCATGTGTAGAGAGGAGGCGGGGAAGACAGTAGTTATCATGTGTAGAGAGGAGGCGGGAAAGCAGTAGTTAGCATGTGTGGAGAGGAGGCGTGAACGCAGTAGTTAGCATGTGTAGAGAGGAGGCGGGAAAGAATTAGTTAGCATGTGTAAGAGGAGGCGTGGAACGCAGTAGTTAGCATGTGTAGAGAGGAGGCGTGGAACGCAGTAGTTAGCATGTGTAGAGAGGAGGCGGGGAAAGCAGTAGTTATCATGTGTAGAGAGGAGGCGGGGAAAGCAGTAGTTAGCATGTGTGGAGAGGAGGCGTGGAACGCAGTAGTTAGCATGTGTAGAGAGGAGGCAGGGAAAGCAGTAGTTAGCATGTGTAGAGAGGAGGCGGGGAAAGCAGTAGTTAGCATGTGTGGAGAGGAGGCGGGGAAAGCAGTAGTTAGCATGTGTGGAGAGGAGGCGGGGAAAGCAGTAGTTATCATGTGTAGAGAGGAGGCGTGGAACGCAGTAGTTAGCATGTGTAAGGAAGGAGGCGGGGAAGCAGTAGTTATCATGTGTAGAGAGGGGCGGGAAAGCAGTAGTTAGCATGTGTGGAAGAGAGGCGTGGAACGCAGTAGTTAGCATGTGGTGAGAGGAGGCAGGGAAAGAGTAGTTAGCATGTGTAAGTGGAGGCGGGGAAAGCAGTAGTTAGCATGTGTAGGAGAGAGGCGGAAAGGGTAGTTAGCATGTGTGGAGAGGAGCGCTAGAACGCAGTAGTTAGCATGTGTAGAGAGAGAGGGGGGAAAGAGTAGTTATCATGTGTAGAGAGGAGGGGAAAGCAGTAGTTAGCATGTGTGGAGAGGAGGCAGGGAAAGCAGTAGTTAGCCATGTGTGGAGAGGAGGCGTGGAAAGCAGTAGTTAGCATGTGTAGAGAGGGCGTGAACGCAGTAGTTAGCATGTGTAGAGAGGAGCGAGGGAAAGCAGTAGTTAGCATGTGTAGAGAGGAGGCGTGGAACGCAGTAAGTTAGCATGTGCGGAGAGGAGGGGGAAAGCAGTAGTTAGCATGTGTGGAGAGTAGGTGGGGAACAGTAGTTAGCATGTGTAGAGAGAGCGTGGAACGCAGTAGTTAGCATGTGTAGAGAGGAGGTGGGAAAGCAGTAGTTAGCATGTGTAGAGAGGAGGCGTGGAACAGCAGTAGTTAGCATGTGTGGAGGAGGCAGGGAAAGCAGTAGTTAGACTATGTGTGGAGAGGAGGCGGGGAACGCAGTAGTTAGCATGTGCGGAGAGGAGGCAGGGAAAGCAGTAGTTAGCATGTGTGGAGAGTAGGTGGGGAAAGCAGAGTAGTTTAGCATGTGTAGAGAGGAGGCGTGGAACGCAGTAGTTAGCATGTGTAGAGAGGAGGCGTGGAACGCAGTAGTTAGCATGTGTAGAGAGGAGGCAGGGAAAGCAGTAGTTAGCATGTGTAGAGAGGAGGCGTGGAACGCAGTAGTTAGCATGTGCGGAGAGGAGGCGGGAAAGCAGTAGTTAGCATGTGTGGAGAGTAGGTGGGGAAAGCAGTAGTTAGCATGTGTAGAGAGAGGCGTGGAACGGCAGTAGTTAGCATGTGTAGAGAGGAGGAGGCGTGGAACGCAGTAGTTGCATGTGTGGAGAGGAGGCTGTGAAGCGCAGTAGTTATCATGTGTAGAGAGGAGCGTGGAACGCAGTAGTTAGCATGTGTAGAGAGGAGGCAGGGAAAGCAGTAGTTAGCAATGTGATAGAGAGGCATTAACGCATAGTTAGATCGTGCGGAGAGGAGGCGCGGGAAAGCAGTAGTTAGCATGTGTGGAGAGAGAGTGGGGAAAGCAGTAGTTAGTCATGTGTAGAGAGGAAGGCGTGGAACGCAGTAGTTAGCATGTGTAGAGAAGGAGCAGGGAAAGCAGTAGTTAGCATGTGTGGAGAGGAGGCGGGAAAGCGAGTAGTTAGCATGTGTGGAGAGGAAGGCGTGGAACGCAGTAGTTAGCATGTGTAGAGAGGAGGCAGGGAAAGCAAGTAGTTAGCATGTGTGGAGAGCAGAGGCAGGGAAAGCAGTAGTTAGTCGTGTGTAGAGGCATTCGTGGAACGCAGTAGTTAGCATGTGTAGAGAGGAGGCGGGGAAAGCAGTAGTTAGCATGTGTAGAGAGGAGGCGTGGAACGCAGTAGTTAGCATGTGTGGAGAGGAGGCAGGAAAGCAGTAGTTGCATGTGTGGAGAGGAGGCGTGGAACGCAGTAGTTAGCATGTGTGGAGAGGAGGCGGGGAAAGAGAAGTAGTTAGCATGTGTAGAGAGGAGGCGCGGGGAAAGCAGTAGTTAGCATGTGTAGAGCAGGAGGCGGGGAAAGAAGTAGTTAGCATGTGTGGAGAGGAGCGCGTGGAACGCAGTAGTTAGCATGTGTAAGAGGGAGCAGGGAAAGAGAAGTAGTTAGCATGTGAGAGGGAGGCGGGGAAAGAAGTAGTTAGCATGTGTGGAGAGGAGGCGGGGAAAGAAGTAGTTAGCATGTGTGAGAGAGAGGCGTGGAACGCAGTAGTTAGCATGTGTGGAGAGGAGGCGGGGAAAGAAGTAGTTAGCATGTGTGGAGAAGAGGTCGTGGACGCAGTAGTTAGCATGTGTGGAGAGGAGGCAGGGAAAGCAGTAGTTAGCATGTGTAGAGAGGAGGCAGGGAAAGCAGTAGTTAGTATGTGCGGAGAGGAGGCGGGGAAAGAAGTAGTTAGCATGTGTAGAGAGGAGGCGGGGAAAGCAGTAGTTAGCATGTGTAGAGAGGAGGCGTGGAACGCAGTAGTTAGCATGTGTAGAGAGGAGGCAGGGAAAGCAGTAGTTAGCATGTGTGAGAGGAGGCAGGAAAGCAGTAGTTAGCATGTTGTAGAGAGGAGGCGTGGAACGCAGGTAGTTAGCATGTGCGGAGAGGAGGCGGGGAACGCAGTAGTTAGCATGTGTGGAGAGGAGGCAGGGAAAGCGTAGTTAGCATGTGTAGAGAGGAGGCGTGGAACGCAGTAGTTAGCAGTGTGCGAGAGGAGGCAGGTAAAGCAGTAGTTAGCATGCGCGAGAGAGGAGGCGGGTAAAGCATCGTTTAGCATGTGTAGAGAGGAGGCAGGGAAAGAAGTAGTTAACATGTGTGGAGAGGAGGGTCGTGGAACGCAGTAGTTAGCATGTGAGAGAGGAGGCGGGGAAAGAAGTAGTTAGCATGTGTGGAGAGGAGCGCGGAAAGGGCAGTAGTTAGCATGTGTAGAGAGGAGGCGGGGAAAGATAGTAGTTAGCATGTGTAGAGAGGCAGGCAGGGAAAGCAGTAGTCAGCATGTGCGGAGAGGAGGCAGGGAAGCAGTAGTTAGCATGTGGTGAGAGGAGGCGGGGAAGCAGTAGTTAGCATGTGTAGAGAGGAGGCGTGGAACGCAGTAGTTAGCATGTGTAGAGAGGAGGCGTGGAACGCAGTAGTTAGCATGTGCGGAGAGGAGGCAGGGAAAGCAGTAGTTAGCATGTGCGGAGAGGAGGCGGGCGAAAGCAGTAGTTAGCATGTGCGGAGAGGAGGCGTGGAACGCAGTAGTTAGCATGTGTGGAGAGGAGGCGGGGAAAGCAGTAGTTAGCATGTGTGGAGAGGAGGCGTGGAACGCCAGTAGTTAGCAATGTGTAGAGAGGAGGCGTGGAACGCAGTAGTTAGCATGGTGTGGAGAGGAGGCAGGGAAAGCAGTAGTTAGCATGTGTTAGAGAGGAGGCAGGCGAAAGTACGTTAGGGGCATGTGCGGAGAGGAGGCAGGCAAGCAGTAGTTAGCATGTGCGAGAGGAGGCGGGAAAGCAGTAGTTAGCGATCGCGCGGAGAGGAGGCGTGGAACGCAGTAGTTAGCATGTGTAGAGGAGGAGGCGGGAAAGCCGTAGTTTGCGTGTGTGGAGAGGAGGCGGGAAAGCAGTAGTTTATCATGCGCGGAGAGGAGGCGTGGAACGCAGTAGTTAGCATATGTAGAGGAGGAAGCAGGGAAAGCAGTAGTTAGCATGTGCGGAGAGGAGGCGGGGAAAGCAGTAGTTAGCATGCGCGGAGAGGAGGCGTGGAACGCAGTAGTTAGCATGTGTAGAGAGGAGGCAGGGAAAGCAGTAGTTAGCATGTGCGGAGAGGAGGCAGGGAAAGCAGTAGTTAGGCATGTGTGGAGAGGAGGCGTGGACCGCAGGTAGTTAGCATGTGTAGAGAAGGAGGCGTGGAACGCAGTAGTTAGCATGTGTAGGGAGGAGGCGGGGAAAGCAAGTAGTTAGCATGTGTAGGGAGGAGGCAGGGAAAGCAGTAGTTAACATGTGTAGAGAGTAGGCGGGAACGCAGTAGTTAGCATGTGCGAGAGGAGCGGGGAAAGCAGTAGTTAGCATGTGTGGAGAGGAGGCGTGGAACGCAGTAGTTAGCATGTTAGAGAGGAGGCGGGGAAAGCATCGTCGTAAAGCGACCGGTTAGCCTGCGTTCTTCAGCTCTGCATCTCATGGCATTGAATAAAGTGCGGTGCGGGAGAATGCGGCCGGTATGTTCGCGTGTGTTTGCGTAAATGTATTTGCTACGTATCCGGTCAATTGACTGTCCGTCTCGTTGATAGGCAGACGTGCTCACCGCTCTGGCGTCTGTCGTCAGAGAATGCAAAAACTTCAAGGTTCGCATCAACGCGGCTCTGGCGCTTGCAGTGCCCACCAGGCGGCAGCACTACGGCTCCGCGGAACTGTATCTGGGTCTGTGGAGGGTGCTGATTGAGGCTCTTGAAGCCTCTGACCAGATGGACGACTTTTCCGAGTTCAAGTACAAGGACAACCTCACCGACCAGGTGTGTGAGGATCTGATATGGTTCTGTGTTATGTTTGGAGTATTAAATGGTTTTTTGGTGTACCTGTAGTACTGCCAAAGTGAATTTTTAGCTCACCTTGACATCGTCAAGCTGAGCTATTGCCATGGGTCGTCGTCCGTCCGTCCGTCCGTTCGTTCCGTCAACATTTGGCTACGCTCAACGATAACTCAGGAACCGTTTGACCCACATGTTTGAATTGGTATAGTTGTTACTTGCTGATGCTCCATATTAAACGTCCTATTTGCGGAGCACGCAGTCGACGTACTTTCGAGCCACGCGCAATTGTTTTGGCAAAATGGGAATTGCCATTAGTGAGTTCAGGTTCAACGGATTTTGCTCATTTTTGTATGTGAATGAATAAGGTCTAGGGGTTTGATATTTTTTTTAATTATGCAAATTAGGTGTGTTTGACCAATTATATAGCATATTATATAGACACGCAGATAACAAACAAGTCTGTGGTGTCACACTCGTCTGGTTCGTTTACAAGATTTCATTGACAATATCTTTAATGCAAAATTCCTCGCTATGAACATATTATGATTTATACTATTATTATTATATTATTATTATTATGATATAATGATTTATGCTAAGAAACATCAAAGCGGGTATAGCGCCATCTACTGTCACAAATTGTAATTCATTTTGGTTTATAAATTATTTATATCAAGAGTATATAATGGGAGTTCTTCCATATATACTCTTTGTTTCTATAATGTACGTCGATGGTTGCTCAATTAAAACTGACTTCTTCTCACTCACTCATTTGTGTCCTTTTTTGTGGTGAGCTACAGTGTCATTGACAGTTTCATTTCATTTTTGATGCACATTGATAAAAGCTTTTGCTGAGTAATGGTTTTTCTACCTTCACGTCTGTCTCTAAAATGTCATGCACACTAAAAGTTAGACTTGTACTTAGGTTTGGATTTAGCTTTTTTTCCATTTTGTAGCTGTTTTATTGGTGGATGAAGTTTTAGATTTATGTTTTACTTATTGACACCAACAGTTATGCGCGACACTGCTACATCTGTCATGGCTGCTGGCAAAGGATGACCTTGAGGCAGTAAATGCTCTCGTCTGTGAGGGATTTGACGTGCTCTCCACCTACCTGGCCAAGTACACGAGAAATCTCGCACTGGCAGAGCCTCCCGTGAAAGGTAGGATGGTTGAATTCACGTTCGTGTGCATTCTGCGGTTTTGGTTTTTAAAGATGTCGTAACACGAGCTGGGACGTAACGTCTGTACTCTTCTCCATTTTCGCAGGCCAGACTGTTAGTGCTGCCATGGCAATGGAACATCTTTGTGAATTATCTGGTACAGACCTAACTACAGCTCAGGTTTCAGCACTAGAGGGCATCACGGTAGCATTTTCTGTATCTATAGAACAAATAGAATGATAGCAAATATACGTTGAATAGCACTGACGTGATATATTTGAATTGATTTATACCTGGGAAATGATGGGCTTATATACATGTTATTATTTCTTAAGAATTAAAGCATTCGTTTATGACTAAATCAAAATGAAATAGCCTGCAGAATTTGTTCTTATTTACGCTTTTTATTGCAACTTGTTGCAAGATGCTATTTTCTGTCAATTCCACCCTCACATCCTTTGACCATTCTACACTCTAAATCATCTTTCTATCAAAACTACATGCAGTATTGGTGTAGTGGTCAGTAGCACATTTCTTGAAGCCCACCCATGCCTTTGGCACATTGTAAAAAAATGAGGTGCATACAGCGGTTTTATTGAGGATTTTGTTCTACGTCACGGTGGCGTCATCCCAGACTCCGCTGCCCTCCCGCCCCCACAGTCCAGCAATAGCTTGGCTGTGGTACTGCGCGCGTGTATATAGGCAACATCAACAACAATGTTAAACATCTGCTGGACGTATAACAACGTGTGCGCTCCTAGTCCATGCATCACCCACAGAAAACTCTATAAGAATGCGTGCAGTGTGAGTGTGCGTGCCTGCGTGTGTGTGAGTGCGTGTCTACTTGTGTGCATGCGTGTACGTGCGTGCGTGTGTCTGTGCGTGCGTGCGTGTGTGTGTGTGTGTGTGTACGTGCGTGCGTGCGTGTGTGTGGAAGGGGATACTTCAGTAAGAGCTGTCAGCCTGATGCTATAGCCGTACGTGATTGGCTGCCGAGCTAGCGTGATGTGGCCATGCCTCCCAGCTGTAAGCAGAGAGCCTAAGGTTAGACACATCGCCCTAGAGATCATCTCTGTGACGGAGGCTTCAGCGCTGAGCGTGTAGCTACCAACTCCCGACTGTGCCCACGATCCGTTGAACAGACAAGATGGTAATGTCAACTTTATGTCGTGTGTATGTGTGTGTGTGTATGTGTGCGTGTGCGTGTGCGTGTGCGTGTGCGTGTGCGTGTGCGTGTGCGTGTGCGTGCGCGTGCGTGTGTTGTTCGTGTGCGTTTGCGTGTGCGTGCGCGTGCGTGTGCGTGTGCATGTGTGTGTCTGTGTGTGTGTGTTGTGTGGTTGTGTGCGTGCCTGCGTGCTTGCGTGTGTGAGAGAGAAAGAGAGCGAGAGAGAGTAACTGAGAATTGATAGCGTAGTCTAATACCGATGATGTTATTGCTCGTTATAGTTATATATATATATATATAATATATTATGCCTATTATTTATATCGATGCATGCACGTATAATCTTTCAATTCGTAAGAACTCTTGTCAAATATTGTCTCTTTAAAAAGCCTAGTAATATTAACGCATTAAACAAACTGGGAACATTTGTGAGGATTGAATTTGTGTCAAACATTTGTATTTTTGAGACATTTGTGATATTATTTCCAGACTTCCAGAGTACAGGGAACTACTTATGTAGACAAGGGAGAGAAGGTAACTCTTATCGTGTTGACTTCTCCTAATATAACAAGTAGTTAATGATTTCATGTGCAGAATATGCTTTCGTTCTCTAACAGAACCTAATGCTGCAGTTTTATTCGATATTTTAGCTACTATACTTCTTGGCATTTTCTTCCTTACATCTGCTGAAATCTGAACTGTTTTATACTGTAGTTTCACAGCCGGCACGTGCTGCTTATGTAATTGCGTTTATATTTACAGCCAGAGAAAGGCCGCTTCCTGCATTTCGACCATGTCACCTTCTGGGTGGGCAACGCAAAGCAGGTAACGGTGTCACGCAGGAAATCTAGCTTCCATAATGCACATATGTGCGGTGCACACGCGCGCGCTGGCTAAAGCGTTCGCGAAATATCGTCGCTATATTTGTATACTAGTCGTAAAAGATAATAAATTAACGTAAAGTTTATTTACGTCAGGGAAATGATATTGGCAGTAAAGTCTTTTTGCACGGTGGCAGGAATATGTAGCTACTGGGTGGGCGAGGGGGAGGGGGAGGGGGAGGGGTTGCAGTGCTCGTGGTCATAATAGCATCGGCTTACTTGCTATGACACAGCTGCGTGTTTGTTTTGCAGGCTGCAGCCCACTACTGTATATGCATGGGATTTGAGCCAGTCGCGTACAAGGGATTGGAAACAGGTAGCAGACAAGTTGTGTCCCATGTGGTCAGGCAAAATAAGGTTTGCGCTCTCTTGCTCTCTACTCAACTGTCTGTCCCTGTGTCGCATTCCCAAGTTATTTCCATCTTCCTTGCCACTCCGTCTTCGTTACTCAAATATCATTTTTGGGGGGGCAAGGTATCACGGGTTAGTCACGTGATACTCACGTTGATTTTACACATGCTGTGTAATTTGCGCGTTTAGTGCTTCCGTTCTAAGATTCTATGCATATGATTAGATTCTTGTTGTATGTATAATTTTTAAACCCTTTTTAAGATGCATATCTCGTTTTTTTGTAGATCCTGTTCCAGTTCCAATCTGCGCTGAATCCTTACGACAAGGGTATGTAAGTGCAACGTTTTATCACAGCGGTTGCCACTATTAATTTGCAATCCCGGCTGTGCGATATGCTCTCGTCTGAGTCGAAGATCCAAATGTTCTATTTATAAACACATCTTCTCGTCAAGGTCTCACCACATGATCAAGTTTGTTGGTTGCGAGTGTCGGAAGGTGGGGGGTGGGGAGGTCGTGTTGTTATGGTGAGATTTATGTGCGCGTTTTGCAACTCGGGGAAGATTCACTATGCGTTTCTCCTGCACTCATCTGTCTCCCACTATCACAGTACCGAGTATTACATGTGCAGAAACCTACAGAAACCGAGAGTATTCTGCAGTCGTGTGCAGGGCCGGACTGGCGATCGGGAGCACCGGGAGTTTTCCCGGTGGCCTGGCCTGCTAAGTGGCCTGCCCCCCAATTAAAAAATAAATAAAAATAATCTGCGGCCTGCAGGCCACACACACACATATATATTTTTTTATCTGCGGCCTGCAGGGCTATTATTATAGGTGGGTGCGGAGTGATGTCACGTCCGAGACCCCCAGCTTCAAAAGTGGCCTGACTGGGGCTATATTTCGCGCTATATTTCCCGGCCTGAATGATTTTTCCAGTCCGTCCCTGGTCGTATGAGATGTGTGTCTCGTGCGTGAGGAAGAACGTAAAGGCAACTAGTCTAAAAAATATATGCTGCCATGTGGTTGGGTATGAAGCGCGCGCGCCCTTCTAACTGGGTCAGAATGCCTGCCTACTAGTGGCTATTTATATCTCCATCTTGTGGCCGTCCGTCAACCTCGGAACTTTCTCCGTATTGCTCTCTCTCTCTCACTCTCTCTCTCTCTCTCTCTCTCTAGGTTCTGGTTCGGTGATGACAGCCAGAATTCCACAACACAGTATCTGCTCTGCGCTCCCATTGTCGTCACAAACTACGAGAAACGATCCCAAGATGCCAATCCAATGACCTGCCTGCCCGTATGAAGAAAAGCCAGATTAACAGGTGGTGCGTGCCAGTGTAAGTGAAGAGCCAGATACAGGTGGGTGCCTGCGGTATGAAGGAAAAGCCCAGAATTACAGGTGGGTGCGTGCAGTGTAAAGGAAGAGCCAGATTATCAGGTGGGTGCCTGCCGTATGAGGAAAAGCCAGATTACAGGTGGTGCGTGCCAGTGTTAAGGAAGAGCCAGATACAGGTGGGCTGCGTACGTGTGAGATAAGAGCCAGATACAGGTGGGGTGTGTGCAAATGTCTAAGGAAGAGCCAGATCCAGGTGGGTGTGTGCCCCTG